ATATGTAACAAAATAAAATAAAAGTTACATATATATGACTACCTAAAGAGGGAACCTCCACGTGGTGGTAGTCGGACAATGTTGTATCTGTGTATACAATAGCTAATACCCTCAATAATACTTGTTGTTGTTTTTTCAATCAAGCCGCTTTCAATTCAAAGAATTCCCCCATTTAACTTTTAAAAATCAGGTGAAGAAATACATAAAAACACATAATATGCAACTTTAAGTGTCTATATTTAAACACTGTGCCAAAAAAAACAAAAAAAACAAAAAAAAAAAACAAATTTAACTTGTTAATTAAAACTAATCAGAGATGCAGCATAGAATAATCATGCCAAATTTTATCGAAATCGGTCAAAAAATAGAGATCTGAGAAATAAAAACATACATTTTTTAGACCAGTCATATAGGACTAAGACCACAATTAATTTTACTATATGTTTCATTGTAATATTTAATTTCATAACAAATTCCCAATATCCGATAGCCAACTTTCCATCTAACCTGGTCAAGAGCAACATCTTGGGAGTAAAATATCAAAATTTCAACATAGCATGTTGGCCTTTTTCTTGAGATAATCGTCTGCATGTGTCACCAATGTCAAAAATAAACTTCCGGGTCAGGGGTAGAGGTCAACACAGGACTTTTCACACAGCACCCTGCACCAAAAAATAAATGCACAATATAAAAATTTGACACAGAAATTGTTAGATTGATATCTCCACAGTATTTTAACACCAAACTTTTACACAAACACCAAGTTATAAGAGGCATAGTATAGTTTTTACTAAAGTACCTATATTTCTAAGGGACTTCATTCTTGGGTACTGAACCCGGAAGCATTTAATTGTGACCTCAGTCCATGTCCCGGCAAAGAATGTCGCGTACACTACTACATGTACAGGCCTAGAATGCCGCGTACACTACTACATGTACCGGCCTAGAATGCCGCATACACTACTTCATGTACCTGCAAAGAATGTCGCGTACACTACTACATGTACAGGCCTAGAATGCCGCATACACTATTACATGTACCGGCCTAGAATGCCGTATACACTACTACATGTACCGGCAAAGAATGTCGCGTACACTACTACATGTACCGGCCAAGAATGCCTCATACTCTACTACATGTACCAGCCTAGAATGTCTCATACACTACTACATGTACCGGCCAAGAATGTCTCATACACTACTACATGTACCGGCCTAGAATGCCGCATACACTATTACATGTACCGGCCTAGAATGCCGCATACATTACTACATGTACCGGCCTAAACTGCTGCATACACTGCTACATATACCGGCCAAGAATGCCTCATACTCTACTACATGTACCAGCCAAGAATGCCTCATACTCTACTACATGTACCGGCCTAAACTGCTGCATACACTACTACATATACCGGCCAAGAATGCCTCATACACTACTACATGTACCGGCCTAGAATGCCGCGTACACTATAACATGTACCTGCAAAGAATGTCGCATACACTATTACATGTACCGGACTAGAATGCCGCATACATTACTACATGTACCGGCATAAACTGCTGCATACACTACTACATATACCGGCCTAAAATGCCGCATACACTACTACATGTACCGGCAAAGAATGTCGCGTACACTACCACATATACCGGC